TACCTCCCCCCCCAAAAATCCCCCACCCAACCTTTGGTGGTGGGGAATTTCGGGGAGCTAAATCCCACACCTTCAAGTTGCTGAGGTTGAGAAACACTGCTCTACCCAACATGCAAAGCTTGGGAAGTTTTAACCATGATTAGTTTTGGAAACCTTTAAATATTGTGTGAGCCCCCCCAACCCCACCCCATTCGGTCCCTTCATACTCCCAAATGCAGCAAGGGGGGGTTGATTTAGTCAGCCGGTTTAAGGACAGCGTGTGAACGCAGCCCCTATATGCTAGTCCTCGTGGATGCAAAGGCATCCGTGGGATTGAAGTCTTGAGTCAAAGCAGTGAACGCAGTGTGTGGGTGTCGCTGCTGTGCCTGTACAAAAGGGGTGGAGCTTGCACACACCCGCGCCCTTTCCCACTACACGGACGCCTCTCTCGCACGACGCCGACGTCCTGCAGGCCAGATCTGTGGGTCTGTAAGAACGGTCAAGGCATCCGGGGTGCTGCGAAGGGGATCGAAGCAAACCGGAGAACCTCACGTTGGGGAAAAGGGTTGGGGCTGGGCTGGGGTGCATTTGGGACAGCAGGGACCTCTTTCCAACCCCGCTCTGTCTCTTGGGGGGGTTCTTAGGAGTTGCTGCGGCTTCTGCCTCTCCTTCACCCAGCCCGACCGCCGAGAACATCACTATGGCTCCTCCTTCAGCCACGATCACAGCACCGATCAACACGACCGCCACGAAGCTCCCTGCAACACCGGGGACGCTGAGTAGTCACAACCTTACAACCCTGCCGGCCTCCCCCGCCCCACTTTCTCTGACTCTGACGGGGTCGTCAAAGATGCCTACAGTGGGGGCCTCTTTAAGCACCACCCGTCCTTTGCTCACGGGGCACGGAGCCCTGACCACCACCATCACCACCGTTGCAGACAAAGCGACCTCATGGACACCAGCGCCGGTGCCTCCCACAAACGCCTCCTCTCCAGGGGGGGCTGCTTCCAAAGGCCTCACCTCTGCCAGCGGGCCGTCCACGTTGAGCCTTTCCCCCACCTCGCCTCTCCCCTTGAGGCCTGTCACGTCCACAGGTATGTTCCCAGTCTCTGGATTATACATCCCCTAATCCCTAGGCGGGCATGCGAAGGATTAGGGTATTTAAGCCCGGGGGGTTGGCATAAAGGTAGACTCTCCTTCCAATGGAATTCAACTCTTGGGGACTTCACTGGCAGCCCCGTGTCAATTCTGGGGCAGTGAAACGGAAAGGATTTGTCCCCCTTGTCTTCCTGGTGGTCTCCCATCCATGAATGAACTAGATCTGACTCGTCTAGCTTTTCAGATTCAGCCACAGCCAGCCAGGGGTCCTTCACATTCAAGAAATATTTAAGAATCTCTATTTCCGAGATGGTCAGAAGCATTGCATCTGTCCTCCTCTTGCCCATAGACCCATAAGTTGGAGGAGGTGGGGAAGCTTCACAAAGAAAGCTGATGCAAAGCACCGTCGATTGTTTGGGGAGGGAGTGGGGGACACCATTTTTCATTGCTCCCCTAAGAAGATATAAGTGTGCCTGTGTTACAAACACCGTTCCTTATTTGCTAGATTTCTACTTGCAGGGATTTTTTTTAAA